GCTGCTAACTGCTACTGCTGCTTTTTAAATGTCCCGGGGGTGGGTCGCACACATAACGCATTGTCAAAACATCACACCTGTCCTGTCCGTGTTTCCCGTCCTGTTGGCTGTCCCTTTTACATAGATGTCATATTGGTGCTGTTAAAACCTCCAACGTAAACGCAAGACAACCATACCCCTCACTCCGTGATTGTACCCTTTATAAAGAATGACGCAGCAGAGTAACTGCACGAAATTCCCGCCTTGAACAGGCAGTGCATAAGTTGCCATAAGTCACGAAGGGAAACCACCGCAACCACTCCAAACAGAGTGAGCAGGTGCTTGGCCCTGCCTCGTACCTAACCAGGTCCAGCATTAATGTTACGTTAGCATTAGTATGGCGAGTTTTAATGTTAACAGAACGTTAGCTAACTAACTTGGTGGACGTTTATTTTCCAACCTCACAGAGACGCCTTTGGTTCAAAAGTACTGCATCATAAATGTTTTCATGCGTGACGTATTAATAACTGTGGATAGCTTGTGCATAGCATCTTTAGCACAGCTGGTCTGACCCAAGGCTAATTCATGAGCTGGCTATTTAGCTAGGGAATGAGCTAACTCACTGAAAAAGAGGCAGACTTCTTGGATGGCCGGTAAATTAACTGTACAGCAGGCCATATTATTTGTCAAATATTTGTATGAAAAACCCTCCATAAGGGACTTACACAAAAAATATGTGCTAGAGGTCAAGATCAGTGACTAGCTGGGATGACGCCAAGCAAAACTAAAGTAAATATGTTACACCCTCCCACTGTTTTGGAGGCTGTCCTGGCCAACCTCGGCTGTCGGCTGGCTGACATGGTCATCAGCTGATTGGGCTCACCTGGGCCCTTGAGCTACGGACTCGTCCTTGTCACATTCCCCGAGTCAGTTTATGAAAATATTATTTCTCAGAAAGGAGACATTTTTTGAAGGTGTAACCTACTTTGCATATAAATGTGCCGTGGATTACTGCTCCTGGGAAAACTGTTAAAGCTTGCATGATTTGTCATAAAAGGCTGATAATATTTAGCGCATTCATTCTCGTTCTAATGCTATTTACTCTTCCATACAGAACAAACTGTATGTCTTTGTATAAATTGCATTAAGTACAATGTATGAACAACTTGATGTAGATTCTCATTCACTGTGACTCACTCTTCTACACAGGATATAGCAGCCACAATGGCAAAGAGCTGAGGATAGTGATGATGGGGAAGACTGGAATTGGGAAGAGTGCCTCTGGAAACACCATCCTGGGAAAACAGTGCTTTGAATCAAAGTTCAGAGCAAAGTCTATGACTGTTGACTGCTCCCTGGGCAAAGCTGTGGTGGACGAGCAACAGGTTGCTGTTGTCGACACCCCTGGTCTGTTTGACACCAGGTTCGGCATGGACAAAACAACTGCAGATATAAGTCAGTGCATCTCTTTCGCTGCTCCTGGACCCCATGTGTTCCTGGTGGTCATCATGCCGGGCAGATTCACTGAAGAGGAAAAGCAGACGGTGCAAAAGATTCAAGAAATCTTCGGCCAGGCTGCAGACAGATACAGCATGGTTCTCTTTACTCATGGTGACCTTCTTGAAGACACAACTATTGAGGACTTCTTGGCTGAAAGCCCTGACCTGCAGGAACTCGTGGCCAGATGTAATGGCCAGTACCATGTCTTCAATAATAAGACAAATGATCATTCTCAGGTCACTGAGCTGCTCCAGAAGATCAGAAATTTAACCCAGAGGAACGGAGGCAGCCACTACACCAACGAGATGTTCCAAGAGGCCGAGAGGAAAATCGAAGCTGAGAAACAACGCATCCTGAGAGAGAAAGAAGAGCGAGAACGCAGAGAAAGAGAGGAAATAGAGAGGAAACAACAGGAAAAATACGAAGAAGAGATGAGGAGAATTAATGAACAACTCCAGGCTGAGAGGGAGAGGGAGAGAATACAGAGAGAGTGGGAGTTGAGGCGGGAGAGGGAGAGGAGGGAGAAGGAGATGAGGAGGGAAAGAGAGGAAAGAGAAGCAGAAAGGAGGAGAGAGGAAGAGGAGAGAGAGAGGCAGCTTGAAAATATGAGGAGACAGTTAGCAGAAGAACGTGAAAGACAACTGGAGGAGGAAAGAGAAAGGCAGAGACGGCATGCAGAGTGGCAAAGACGGCGGCATAGAGGAGGTAATTGTAGAATTAACTGATTTGTTTTAGATGTCTTTGTATTTGTGTGCTAGTGTACAAAATAAACTATTTAACTATTAAAATTTATGTGAGGAGTTTGTCGACCAGTAACTTAAGTAACAGATTACTTGACAACTCTGTCACCATCCATCAAAGTAAACATGGAATGGCAGCATTTAGGTACTTTTAATCACAAAGCTGGAAAAAACTTCTGCTGACAAGAACCAAGAGTCTGTTGAATTGCCTGTGTTCGAGGAATAAATATATGAGATTATTTAATCCGAGGATGGAGTATCTTGTGTTTTATTTTTTCCATGGTTGTCTGCAAGACTTTTATTTATGTTTTAAGACTTGGACAAACTTGTTCCCCGGTGTCACCGACTGAACCTTAAGTACTCATCATTGCTCGTTTTGCGCTAAAAAAAAAACACACCAAGCAGCGGCAAAGTGCAGGTCTCTGCAATAATTTGAAACTGTAGTTTATATTCCTTTCTTCTTCTGTACCTTCTGTTTAATGAGGTTAATGCACTTTATAAAACACTGCTATTGAGTATAATAAGTGCTTTTCAAATAAACTTGTCATGCTATGTCTTAGATTATAGCTCAGCACTCTTGTTACATTCTGCACTACACAAGTCATTGTACAAATTGGTTAAACTCCAAAATGTCCTATTTTACAGAAATAATTTCAACTTGATAAATTGATCATGAATTTTTTAAAAATATAAGTGAACCAATAATTTATGAAATGATTTGAAATGTAATTAAAACTTAACTTATAATGGAATTAGTTCTTTTTTTTTCTAGCCTAATTGCACATTTAATATTTCAAAAGTATGTTTCTATTTTTTAATGGTATTGCCCCAAATATGTTCATGAAATATAATGTTAATGACCTTGTCATCGAGACCCATCTGAGCTATCAAACTGGTGTTAAAGATTTTGTGTCCTAGTTTTGATATGCGGAGGAAAGAGAAGATGACCTCATCAGTTTGTTTGAGGAACAGCCATCTGTGCCACCACCGTTATGAGGAGAAAGTGGATATAAGACAATGTAACGTGTAATACTTCAATTTAAGTCAATGTCCAAACAGGTACCACCCCAATGACAAAATTCTCCCTTGTTGGAACTTGGCTCTGACACTGGCCAAAGACACACATCACGTGAGGATATACATCCCCGACCAGAGGTGAAAAGCAGAGGGTTGTGTTAAATGATCAGTGGGTACAGCTCCAGAAAAAGCATGTCCCCTCTGCTGTGTGACTATGTCTACACTTATTGTTCTTCATTCAACATGTATTTACATGAGTTTTTGGGCTTGGCCGCAACAACAAGGGCAGCTCTGTTAGTGAAACTCAAGGTGAAAGTCCATGACTGAGTATATGTGACCGATGGAGTCAGTTAGGACCATATTAATTCGAGCACCTCTCCCATGGAGTACCACAGCAAAGAGGCCATGTTATATTCAGTTAAATACAATAAATCACAGAAAACATACCTGACAGCAAGAAGTAAAAACAAAATCCTCCATCAGTTACAACTAATTAGAGCCCCTCTCTCTTGGAGTACAACAGCAAAAGGGCAGAGATAAGGTGGGAGACCCCTGTTATAGGTGTGGTACCCCTAAAGGTGAACGTAGGGGTACAGAAACTGAGTATCAAATGTTCCACATATTGACTATGGAGGCTTAAGGTCAGGTCATGACATCTACACAAATTTTGTGTAATTGTAACACTTAATATTACAAATGTACATCTGACTTTGTTACACATATTACTGCTGTATATTGATCCTGTTACATATAGACGGGCTTCTTGTTGACCAGCATTATTGGGTGTGTGCGTGTCCACATCTTTTTCCCAAAATAGGTTCACCAGTTTACATTCCCACACTGCATGAAGAAATGTTCCTGTTTCTGTCTGACATTTCCAACATAGATTATCAGCCAGTATTTGATAATATTTTCAGCCATTCCTCATTGCTTACACCTTAGGTCCTTCTGCCAAATGATCCTCAGATTTTTACAAACAATTTTGTAGAACATAGCTGCCCTGTGTGCTATACCAGGTAATTCCAAAAACAATATTACTGATCCTGAGTAATACAAATTCTGAATAAAATCAATCTGCTCTGTGCAACATGCTGTGGCTCCGTCGCAAATAGCTTGTTTTCACTTCTGGGACACTTCTCAAACACACACTGCACCTGCAGGAATTAGAAGAATTGTCTGAGTGTCCTTTTCTGGTTATATCTTTTTTCCTTCTTTGATTTTATCTCTTATTTTATTTTATTATTATCATTTATTTTATTCATGTGCTTATTTACTTCCAAACAAGCCAGAGTTGGTCTTCCATACAGTAAAACCACGCCGCCTACTTTACGAAACACTTGAAAGACAAATGACCTCAACAGGAAATTCTTACGGTACAGCGCTACACTGCAGTTATAACACAACAGATAGAGAGCAAACACTCACTGAAATGAGATCTGTGTGTATGTCTTTGTGCCAATAAATAAACCTTTTTGATTTCCTCTCAGTTAGGGGTGTTGTAGAATGATGACAGCATGCAAGTTAAAATGTTTCAGATTATAGATGAGGGTTATAAATATTGTCCAAAGTCACTGTCCCAAAAGCTCTCACATCCCCTCAAAAAGAGGAACAACATATTGTCTCTGCTTTCCCATTTAGGCTGTAAAGAAATCCCCCTCTTTGATTGAACCGGCCAAAGTTCAGTTTCACTTTCACTTTGACGTCCACTGTATCACTATATGTAGGTGTGGTTTACTGCACAGAACCACCAGACAAAGAGCAGAAGCAGCAGACAGACTCTACATCTTCACCAGGACCTGTGCGAGCGCCTGCACTCTGTAACCCAAACATGGGCAGCCAATACTGCAACGGTAAGTCATGACTAATGATACTACTATCCTCATGTTGTTTAAGGAGACATGCTATGCTCATTTTCAGGGTCAGGTTTTAATGTTCAAAACACAGAGCCCTCGATATTATCAATAATAATAATAATAATAATAATAATATGTTCACCATGTTAAAGTACTAAGTGTCTTATAGTGTATTAAGGAGAGTTATAATTTTATCACTGAAAACTGTTAAGGTTTGCATGATGTGACATGAAAGCATATTAATATCTAGAGCGTTCATTCTTATTCAAATGCTATTTATTCTGCCATGTGTAACAAAATGCTGTGGATATGAGGATAGTGGTCGTGGAGAAGATTCTCCAAGCTGCAGAAAAAAAGGTCTTTTCTCTCATCTTTGTTTAAATTGCATTAAGTCCAGTGTGTGTACAACTTGATGTAGATTCTTATTCATTGTGTGACTCACTCTTCTACACAGGATATAGCAGCCACAATGGCAAAGAGCTGAGGATAGTGATGATGGGGAAGACTGGAATTGGGAAGAGTGCCTCTGGAAACACCATCCTGGGACGACAGTGCTTTGAATCAAAGTTCAGAGCAAAGTCTATGACTGTTGACTGCTCCCTGGGCAAAGCTGTGGTGGACGAGCAAAAAGTTGCTGTTGTCGACACCCCAGGTCTGTTTGACACCAGGTTCAGCATGGACAAAACAACTAAAGATGTAGGCCAGTGAGTCTCTTTCGCTGCTCCTGGACCCCACGTGTTCCTGGTGGTCATCAGGCTGGGCAGATTCACTGAAGAGGAAAAGCAGACGGTGCAAAAGATTCAAGAAATCTTCGGCCAGGCTGCAGACAGATACAGCATGGTTCTCTTTACTCATGGTGACCTTCTTGGAGACATGACTATTGAGGACTTCTTGGCTGAAAGCCCTGACCTGCAGGAACTCGTGGCCAGATGTAATGGCCAGTACCATGTCTTCAATAATAAGACAAATGATCGTTCTCAGGTCACTGAGCTGCTCCAGAAGATCAGAAATTTAACCCAGAGCAACGGAGGCAGCCACTACACCAACGAGATGTTCCAAGAGGCCGAGAGGAAAATCGAAGCTGAGAAACAACGCATCCTGAGAGAAAAAGAAGAGCAAGAACGTAGAGAAAGAGAGGAAATAGAGAGGAAGCTACAGAAGCAATACGAGGAACAGATGAGGAGAATTAATGAACAACTCCAGGCTGAGAGGGAGAGGGAAAGAATACAGAGAGAGTGGGTGTTGAGGTGGGAGAGGGAGAGGAGGGAGGAGGAGATGAGAAGGGAGAGAGAGAAAAGAGAAGCAGAAAGGAGGAGAGAGGAAGAGGAGAGAGCGAGGCAGCTTGAAAATATGAGGAGACAGTTAGCAGAAGAACGTGAAAGACAGCTGGAGGAGGAAAGAGAGAGGTTGAGACAGCAAGAAGAGCGGCAAGTAGTGCATGTATACACTCAGCAAGATGACTGTACAATTCTTTGATTTGGTTTTCAAGTCTTTGTATTTGTGTGCTCGTGTGGTGATATGAAAAAAACTATTTAACTATTTAAATGTATAAGAGGAGGGAAGGGTTGAACCTCTCTCCTCTCATGGTTCATGGATGGTAATGACAGCTTATCAGCCATTTCTACCTGAAGTTAACATACCCATTAACTTTGAAAATGACACCGTTAAAACCTAGAAGAACCATCATCAGCAGAAATGCAGATAATACAGGTACTGTATTGGCTACCACTGAAAAGCTGACAAATGACAACGAGTTCACTACCTCCTTTAGCAACAAAATTCAAAAGATTTGTGAAACATGACAGATTTTGGTGCTTTGAGCTACAGAATGCCTGCAGTATTTTATGTTGCAGATTAATAATCAAATAATAAGCCTAATGAAATAAAATATTTTGTATGTTTGTCGACAAGTAACTTCAATAACTTGAACCTGAACTACTTGTTTTACTTGGCAACTCTGTAATCATCCATCAAAGTAAACATGGAATGACAGCGTTTAATTACTTTTCACCACAAAGCTAGAAAAAACTTCTGCTATATGTGTTTCTCAGACCCTGATAAGAACCTATAGTCAGTATGCGTTGGTCTGTTAAATTGCCTGTGTTCAAGGAATAAATAAATGAGATTATTCAATCTGACAATGGAGTGTCTTGGTTTTTTATTATGTTTTCATGGTTTGTCTGCATTAATTTAAGACTTTTATTTATGTTTACACTGAAAACAGCAGCGACGAAGCACAGCTCGCTGCAATAATTATATTTTTCTGCAGCCGAGAGGCGTGTTTTGTGTTGCAGGTGGGAGAAAATACTTTGTTACATAGGTTAACGTGTCACAACTGAAGAGAGGAGGGTTGTGTTAAATGATCAGTGGGTACAGCTCCAAAAAAAGCATGTCCCCTCTGCTGTGTGACTGTGTTTATACTTATTGTTCTTCATTTAACATGAGTTTAGCCTACATGAGTTTTTGGGCTTGACCGCAACAATAAGGGCAGCTCTGTTAGTGAAACTCAAGGTGAAAGTCCATGACTGAGTGTATGTAACTGATGGAGTATTGTGCTGACATGAAGAGGCCCAGACTGTGGATATCTTTGGAGGCAATCTCCGTTTATTCTTGACAGCAAGAGGTAAAAAGAAATCCTCCAATAATTACAATTTGCTGGTGTCCACCCCTCCCTCCTCCGAATATGGTCACTTCTGGCTCCAAAAAACCAAGATGGTGATGGACAAAATGCCGACCTCAAGGTTTTAAAATGGCAGTTCAAAAACCAATGGGTGACGTCACGGAAGTAACGTACATTATTATAAACTAGTCTATACCCATTGGTAGCTTTGTCACCTTCTACCTATGCCAGTCCTCAATGCCTATGTGCAGTTTCACATAGATTGACCACATCAGTGAGTAGAAAAACGTGTGACAGACAGAATGACTGACTGACAGAATGACACACTGACAGTTTCCATGATTATGTACAGCATACCATACCATGACTTAATCATACCAAAAATTAGAAAAAAAACCCAACAACATTGGACCACAGGGGGAGCCACAGCGATCGGTCACCATTTTAGCCATTTTTAAGCATTTTTCTGTTGTTATAGCGCCACCCAGTTGCCAATTAGAGTTAAATTTCTCCAGTCACCTTGAGGCGTCCTGTTCTACATATCTACCAAGTTTAGTAAAAATCCATATGGCGGTTAGGCCTAGATAAGAAATGAGCTCTCTAGCGCCCCCATTTTGTTTGATGGGGTCAATAATGGAGGGGTCCCCTCAGATTATGTGTGGTCATATGCCTACAAAGTTG